AAACACAAACTAAAGAAAATAAGCCTTAGAGACTGAGTTCCCCAGGAAGCCAAATCAGACAGACTTGTATGTGGGAGGATTGACTGGGGAGAGCTCACAGATCAACACCTGTAGGGGAGCAACAGCAGGGCTTGGGAGGGGGGTTGCTATGATTCAGTCACAAACAAGGGGCCTCTCTGTAGATCCTCTAGGACCAGGGAGGCCACTGAGGTCCACCCAGCTTTGCAGCTTTGAGAGCTAGACTGTTCTATCTTCCGAAAAGGCCAGCCATTGCTTGGGGGATGTCCTAGGGGAGGAGCATAGCCCTGAGTCAAGGGTTCTCTGACTGAGGGAAAAGTCAACTGAAAAAGTCTTTGGTTACCTCTTTCTCTAGCAAGGAAAGACCTGCAGAGGGCGCTGTACAGCACATGAGCATCCACACAGCAGCCAACCAACTCCAGTCCAAACTCTAAAGGAATGTCTCAGCTCTAAGAAACCATTCCTACCTAGGCTGACTTGTGTGGTATTCAAAGACAAGCTCTGCTTAAGAATCCATAGCCTTAGCGGCTGTCAGTGGCTTATGCCTCTATCATTCTAACTACTCAGGAGGCTGAGATCTGAGGATTACAGTTTAAAGCCAGCACAGGGAGGAAAGTCTTTGAGACTCATCTCTAATTAACCACCAACAAATAAAAAAAATAAACAATTAAAAAGGCTAAGGTTCTTTTTACTCAAGGCTAGCAGCATTCTTCCACTTTGAGCCACAGCTCCATTTCTGGTTTTCTGGTCGATAATCAGAAGTGTTTCCTGCCTGGGCTGGCTTCAAATTGCAAACTGCAGTTCTCAGCCTCTGAGTAGCTAGGATTACAGGCATGAGCCACCAGTGCCCAACTCTGGTTCTCTTTTATAATATATGCTACGAATTCAATGAAAATACATAGACTGCGTTGCAATAAAAGGTATAGAGATGAGCCAGATGCCAATGGTTCATGCCTGTAATCCTAGCTAGTTAGAAGGCTGAGACTTGGAGGTCTGTAGTTCTCAGCCAGCCCAGAAAGAAAAGTCTGTGAGTCTCATCTCCAATTAAACAGCAAAATGAGCTGGGCTCGGGTGGCTCACGCCTGTAATCCTAGCTACTCAGGAGGCTGAGATCTGAGGATCGCCATACAAAGCCAGGTGGGACAGGAAAGTCTGTGAGACTCTTATCTCCAATAAACCGCTAGAAAACTGGAAGTGGCAGTGTGGCTCAAGTGGTAGAGCGCTCCTCTTAAGCTGAAGAGCACAGGGACAGCGCCTAAGCCTATTGTTCAAGCCCCACGATGGACAAAAAAGAAAAGAAAAGAAACATCAAAAAGGCACAAGTAGAACTGTGTATTCAATGGTACAGCAACAGACTGGAGCCGAAAAGCTAAAGGACAGAGCCCAGGTTCTGAATTTAAGTCTCAGTATCAACACAAAAATAAAAATAAAGATAGAATTCACTGAGCAATATAAAAGACAGTCATGTGAACAAACAAATCATTATAAACCAACTTAGATGCAATCATGGACAAACAGACTTAGTTCTCACATTCCTGGAGCTTACATGCTACATGACTGGAAATGAGAGACTACAAAAGATGTTAAAGTCTGTGTATTCACTGGACAAGGAGGGTAACAACCATCATAGTAAGAGTAAGCATAGTCAGGTATGGTGTCTCACTCCTCTAATCCCAGATCTTCAGAAGGTGAGTCAGTTAGAGTCTAGCCTGAGCTACACAGTGAGTTCAAAGCCAGCAGAGGCTGCATAACAAGATCCTGTCTTAAAAGAAAAGAAAGCTTAACAACAATAGCACCTAATATTTATTGTATGTGTTTAGAGATATGTCTGAATTTCTTTAGCTTTCAAAATGATCTGCTGGGCAGGTATATTATTAATAATCCCTATTTACATATCAGACATCCAAACACGGAGAATAAGTTGCTTCATCAAAGCCAGATGTACACATGGCCAACCTGGGATTCTCAGAGGAGCCAACATCAGAATTGAGCCTGGGAAACCAGCTAGAAATTTTCTCGATGCACACACAAAACATTCCAGACTTGGGGGAGTGCAGGTACAGATACATGCCAATGGTCACAGGCACGTAATGTTGAGGGTGCAGGTGGGCTGTTCATGATAGAGTCACAGAAAAATATTGACAGTTCAGGGGATGAACAGACTAAGAAAGGAGCCTTACACTCCACAAGGGAAGAGACTGGAGGAATGCAAGCAAGGAGGAGATGCTAATTTCGTTACCCCAAAGAATATTCCTAAGAATAAAACAGCTAACAGGATCTGAGCATCCCAGAAGACAGATGCGGGCTCCAGCTTTTACTCCTATGATCTCACTCTAGTTTTACTACATTCTAATGAGGGAAGTATGAGTCTTAACCCATTTTACAAGGGAGAATGCTGAGCTTTGAAGGGAGCAGCCAAATTGTCTGGGGTCCTGATGCTTATAACTGAGAGGGCTGGGAATTCAAAAACTAAGGAGCTGTAACTCCCAAGCTTTCTGTCTGGTCTCAGTCTGTGTATTTGATGCAAAGAGGCAGAGGGATGGGGGACTTGTGAATGAGTGGGAAGCGAGGGGGAGGTGAATGCAGAGCCCCAGAGGTGGCCAAAACTAAGTGTCAACAGAAAACACCGAGCTGTGGGTAGAGCAGAGGAGGTCTGAGAAAGATACGTGCAGAGGAGAGCCCTGGACACCAAGCACAAGTCCTGGCAGAGAAGGAAGGAAGGGTCACAGACCACAGGAGAAGCAGGACAATCAGTAGAGATCAGCTCCCAGAACCCAGCAGGGAACAGAGAGCCATAGAAAAGGCTGAGTTGAAAGTCGCCTTGGCTACAGCAAGATATTTAAGTCTAGAATTTAGATCATTACTGGGAAAGTAGGTATTTGGCCATAAACATGCTAAAGGACTGAATTCCCTAGAGAACGTGTAAAGAAAAAGAGAGTATACAGAAAAACCCAGGGAACCCTAACGGTTCAAGAATAAATCCATTTTCTCATCTACAAAAGCAAGAAGATACATACACATACACCGGCTATCTTTAGAAACTTGCTTGGAAAAGGGCTTCTTGTCTGCAAGGCATATTGTCATGGATTAGCTCTGAAAACCTCAACTCATTCTCCACAGCATGGAAACTTCTGAATGACATCTGGATGCTGAAGGAAATTGAACTACTATATTTAAATGGTGTATGTGTATGGATGTACATGTCTACATATTTGTATACTTATATATAATATATACCATATACCCAATGTATATACATGCCATGTATATACACTACATATATACATATATATCATTATATACCATATATGCACATGTGTGTATATTTGCATACCATTTATACACATGTCATATAAATTTCTAAGTATAACAATGGTGTAGTCATATAGACATATATACCATATATCCATATATATATATATATATACCATAGTGCATATATAGACACTATATGGACACACTTACTATATATACACTCATAAGTGTCACACTGATCTAGAGTTGAATACATATACATGCCATATATATGATATATACACACACTCACCAATGCAACAATGGTGTATATGGATAAATATATTTCACTGAACAAAAGAGTACTTAGCTTATCACTTACTGCCATAGATTCCCTGGCCACTCTGAGCATGTGTCACCTGTGGCAGGAATTCCACCTGGACACATCACCCACGGCCGGCTTTGGATGGAAGCGGCCAGAAGCAGCTGTGTACCTACCACTCTCTCCAGCGTTATTTCTTTAGGTTCTCGCTTCACCCTTCCCCTTCTCCCTCCACCATCCTCATCCTCATGGCTAGGCAGCCTCCCTGCCTTGTCAGGAATGTATGGAAAAGGCCTTTGCTTCAGTTTCCCTTTTCAAAGCAAAGGAAAACTTCCCAATGTTAACATATGGCCAAAAGAAAAAAAAAAAAAAAAAAGCCTGTTTGGCCCGCCCTCCCTTAGCTGTTGCTACCTCTCAGTTTATGACACAGAAACACAGGAAGGTCTGATGAAGTAAGTGAAGGCGAGCTGTGCCATTCCAGTGGAAAGCCCGGAGCCCCTGGGCGCACACGGCTCTTCCTACTTTCCCGTGCGGCTGTCTCTTTTGTGTGACTTTGACAGGGGCTCGTGAGTGATTTCTCAATGTGTGCCTGCCGAGCTGAGGACAGCCGCACCGGGAGGGAGGACCTGAGCAGAGCCGAGACAGAGGAAGCCCGAGCCAGCTCAGAGCTCCCAGCCCTGCAACTGGCTCGACTCTTGCATGCAGTTTGGGAAGTCAGCAGAACCGAAATCAAATTACTCTCCTAGTATGCTACAAGCTCCAGGAGAGAAGATTCTGCACTGGCTTAATTATCACACAAGATGGAGCAAGTCACAGAATAAGATCCAGTGTGTCTTCTGGGTGGACCCCGACAGACGTAAGTTTTCTGCCTGCTGTATTTGATTCCTGTGTCATTGTCTCTCTCGTTGGCAATCAAACGTGACCAAGATGTAATCATTTCTGTGAGAATTTGGTGGGGGAAGGGACTTGTCGGCTAATCCTCAGGACTTTTTTTTTTCTTTTTCCTTTCATTAATGAAGCAGCAGAATAGAAGCTGAAATTCCTAGCAGCGGCAGCAATTCAGCCAGAGACTGAACTGAGAACCGTAGCCCCAAGTACATTCAATTATTATGAACTTAACACTGGATGTGTTTTTAATTGACTTTCTGATTGTTGACAGCACACATGCCTGCTGTGTCCAAATGCATGCTATGTTAGAGATGCTGTGGCTAAGCTGAGATGATCAGCCCATCCAACCAGAGAGAGAACGAGATTCTGAGTACTTACAAAACTTTTCTTTTTTAGCCAGGAGCACATTTGTCTCCCGGAATGCTCAAAAGTCTGCAGTCTCTATATTAAAAGTTGATTCTGCTTTTTCTTTTTCTTTTTTTTTTTTTTTTTTGCCTTTACTTTGGGTGAAAAAAAATACCTCCCTCCCCAACAGTGGACTCTTACTGAAATTGTGAAAAAAGGAACTGGAAAGCCCTAAAGATAGTTCTTTAAGTATTGCTGTTATCCTGGGAGCAAAGGGACACCACATGAATACCAGCTTCACTATGTCAGAGAGCCAAGGACAGAAAGATGAATGGTGAGCTAAGGCTCTAACTAATTCATCTCTCGACACTTACATCCGCTACTAGTTCTGGCTTAGCCATGGATATTCTCTGTGAAGAAAATACTTCTCTGAGCTCAACTCTGAACTCCTTCAAACAATTACATGATGATCCAAGGCTCTACAATCATGGTTTTAATTCTGGAGAAGCCAACACTTCAGATACATTTAACTGGACAACAGAGTGTGAAAATCGAACCAACCTTTCTTGCGAAGGGTACCTCCCACCGTCGTGTTTCTCCATCTTTCACCTCCAAGAAAAAAATTGGTCTGCTTTACTGACAACAGTGGTGATTATTCTGACCATTGCTGGAAACATACTCGTCATCATGGCAGTGTCCCTAGAGAAAAAGCTGCAGAATGCCACCAACTATTTCCTGATGTCACTTGCCATTGCTGATATGCTGCTGGGTTTCCTTGTCATGCCTGTGTCCATGCTAACCATCCTGTATGGTGAGTGGCATTTGTCTCCCAGCTGTGCCTATAATAGTCCCTAAGCATGTGCATGCCACTAGCTGATAAGAAGGGACTGGGGTGGGGGAGGGGAACAGTGGGCATTCAATTTCCTTTACAGGCAAGGTCTTCCCTACCAGGTCATGTTGCTTTGGCTTTCACTCTTAAAACTTGAAAAAAATCCAGACAAGCAATTATTTGTGAATCCTTAGACCATTTTGTGCTTCGCAAAAAACACCATCTGTGTAAAAAGATCGTGTAAAAGTTTCATACTGTAAAATATAATCGTTCTAAGTCTCCCAATCTAGTCATCCAAGAAATAACTTACCCAGCATTCAGATTTCACTTGATATTTGTGGTTGCTGTTGTTTTAGATCCCTCCCCATTATTCCAGCCTCAGGACAGAACAGTTTCCAGCACTTCTAATGGAATGGTACAAACCTTCCCAAATTACCTTAGAACATTCACAGAAAGAACATTTAGGAGTGAAGTGAGTTTGACGTTAAAATATTCATAATATCCATTAGAATCAATGAATTACTCTGCTTTTAATTGTTCCCCTCCCCAAGGGAAGCTAATTTTAAAATGTGCCTTAGGATGATACCCTCAACTCTTTTTTTAAAAAAAATGCAAATGCACAGACTTCTCTAGACTGGCAGGGAAGAAAGAGTGGGAAAGAAAGAGATAGAGATCAATCTTGCTTTCTTCACCACTGAGTCTGACACAGTCAAATCCCTCGGCAAGTCAGCAAACACTGGGAAGGCTTCATGGGGGAGCAGAAAGTGATATTCCTTCCAAATGATGAGCAATACAGTCAGATTTCTCTCTAAAGAGACAGTAAAGGAGAGACTATCGAGGTGGCTGACACAGGCAATCAGGAGTCACTCAAGAGCTTAGAGTCAGGTAATACAGCTGCCTTTTAGAAGGGATTGTCTGGCCAAGCTCTATAGCCTTTTGGCCTGACCCTGAGGAGATGAATGCAGGAACAGCAGACATCAGTTTGTTCAGGGTTGCTAAGGGCTCCCTGCAATGCCAGTCCTGCTGGACTATTCAACTGTCACCGCAGAATTGTCCCATTAATTTCGCCTGTCATTTCCCAGGCACTGGGGAGGAGTTCTCCCTTCCTGCGACACCCCCCTCCCAGCCCTGTCCTTGGAGACACACGCCAGTGGGGGTGGTGGGAGGTGTGAGAGGGGGTGACTGTGCAGGAACCCAAGGCTGCAGGAGGGGTGGGAAGTGCAGCAGGTCTCCCGGCCACCCATGCGGGGTTCAAGGCTGCCGCCTGGCGTCCATTCATCAGAGTGCAACCAGTGCCACCCAGAGTCTAACAGCATCCTCAGGGACCTCCACATCCAACAGCCCTAGTCAGTTCCAGTCACCAAATGTGTAAAAGGAAGCGCCCCACCCCCACTTTATCCCCACCATGGAAATCCAGACCCAGGCCCGAAGCTGCCTCTTTCCAGAGGAAACTCCCTTTAAAAGGCCAGCACTAGTTTTCGCCTGCATTCCTCCTCAGGGCTGCTGAAAGGAAAAAAAGAAAAAAAGACAACTTTTCAGCCCCAGCTCTTTAATGCAAGTGGAAGGCTCTGGTTAGGCTTTGTACCACACTCTTGCCTTGTTCAAACCCACCCTCCTATGGTAGCTGAGTGGAGAGTGTGCCCATTTATGGGTGGAGAGTTCACCTCACTCAGTGGTCTGAGCCATCATAAAGAAAAAGTCACTTTTCATATTTGTATTATAATTAAATGTTTTATATCAAATGAATGTCTTCTTTATCCTTCACTAATATCTTTCTTCCTAAGAACCACTTTAAAATGACTTTTTCCAGAAAGACTTTGCAACTTTCATAAATAATATGGGCATAAAATGTACTCTTTTAAAGAAAAGAAAAAGTCATTTTTATAAAGCTCCATTCTAAACCAGGCACTGGTGGTTCATGCCTGTAATGTTAACTATTCAAGATGCTGAGATCTGAGGATCGCAGTTGGAAGCTAGCCCTGGCCAAAAAGTCCCCAGGAGACTCTTATTTTCAATTCAACACCCCCAAACCAGAAGTGGGTTTGTGATTCAAAGTGGTAGAGTGCTAGCCTTGAGCACAAAAGCTCAGGGACAGCTCCCAAGCCCTGGGTTTAAGCTCTATGATCAATGAATGAATGAATAAATGAATGAATGAATGAAGCTTTATTCTAACACCTTCTAGACAGATCTAATAACACTGCTTTGTCTGTTTGCAAAAACTAACTTTATCTGCCTGATCATCTCCAAAACACACAAACTGAAACAGAGTGCTTTGCTTCTGTCCAAAAAATATCTTCTACCTGCCTAATTTGTTCTGTGATGCTTTGGGAATCCTTGAGATTCACCTCTGTCCATTCTCCAGAGAGAAAGAGATAACTGGGCAGTTTGGGCATCAGGATGGTAGCCAAAGCTCTGTGGCTGATTCTGCTGTGTCTCCAGCACTGCCCTAAGCAGCCTTCTCAAAGTGTGGTCACCAGGCCAGAGGCATCACCAGAAGTTTTCTAGAAATGCACGTTCCCAGGCCCAGCTATAGACTTACTGGGTCAGAGGCTCCAGATCCGGTAGGTCCAGCTACCCTGTTAGAAAAAACTATCTGAAACTGGGAATGTAGCTAAATGTTAAGAAAGCTTGCCTAGCACACACACACCAGTACTGTAGCTCAGGACCTCACACTCTTACTTGGCTTTTTTACTTAAGGCTAGCAACTTACTACTGGAGCCACATCTTCATTTCTGATTTTTTTTTGCTGGCTAATTGAGATTAAAAAATTTTTTCATAGTTTTATCTACCCAGGCTGGCTTAGAGCCCTGATCCTCAGATCTCAGCCTCCTGAGTAGCTGTGATTACAGGCATGAGCCAACCAACCACACCTGAGTCATTTTTTGGAAAGAGAAAAAAAGTTTTACTAGGGAGAAGTTTTAATAGGGAGAAGAGACAGAACTACTGGTTGTAAAAAAAAAAAAAGTTTTAATAGGGAGAAAAGCTAGAACTGCTGGTTGAAAAAATCAACCCAAGATCACCTCACTGGTTTAATTCCACATACCAGAAATGTTCAGAGCTGGCACTCATCATCCATGCAGTTATAGTGCAGGTCAGCGCAGTTGCCACTGGCTCATTCAAATGTTGGGAATGTCTTTCCCCAAGAGAGAATTCTCATGTCCCAAGAGGCTAGGCTGGGCTCTGATGTCCCGCTTTCGCCTTGCAGGGTACAGGTGGCCTCTGCCCAGCAAACTCTGCGCCGTGTGGATTTACCTGGATGTGCTCTTCTCCACTGCCTCCATTATGCACCTCTGCGCCATCTCCTTAGACCGCTACGTGGCCATCCAGAATCCCATCCACCACAGCCGCTTCAACTCCAGAACGAAGGCATTCCTGAAAATCATCGCAGTGTGGACCATATCTGTAGGTAAGAAGGAATCCCTTCAACTCCCACTGAAAATGGCAGCTCACATGTCTCTTGGGAGACATGTGTTTTGTGATGCTGAAAATTGACATTCCAAATTGATTCTCTTTGTTGTGGTGGTGGTTGTTTTGTGCCTGTAACTGGGGCATTGAATTCAAGGTCTGGGCACTGTCCTTGTGCATTTTCACTCAAGGCTGGTGCTCTACCATTTTAACCAAAGCTCTAATTTTGTCTGGTTAATTGACTATCAGAGTTTCATGGACTTTTTTGCCTAGACTGGCTTTGAACCAATATCCTCAGATCTCAGCTTCCTGAGTGGCTAGGATTACAGGTGTGAGCCACCAGCACTTGAGTTCAATCTATTCTTGTATATGTGGAAAATATACCCCAGTCTAGAATTGATCAGATTCGCTTTAGAAAAGGAAAATCTGTTTATGGAGGTGGCTGACAACATGCATTGGTATTGTTTTTGCACATAAATAAAGAATAAACATAACAGTAAGAACCAAAACAAGAAAGAACTGTAAATTCTCTCATTCCCAAGTTTGCTACCCCAAATTCTGGGTCTCTTGGAAACCTCCAGTTTTGTAATCACTGGCCTTGTAGTTCATACATGGATACAAGTGCTCATAAAAGAGAGCATAAGGTCTGGGGGATCTAGGGAAAGGTATCAAGGAGAAAAGTGCAGAACTTGTGTGGGGTAAGCGTTTAAGTATGTCTAGGGTTCTTGGGGCTTCTGTTGTGACAGTACAGCCCCCAAAGGATTTTGACATCCTTCTACTAGGATAATTACACATACTCACTTTTTGTCCATAACAATCTTCTGCAAAAGTGGCACCCAAATCCACTGTATCTGATAGCACAGCAGGCTTGATTTGTGACCAGAGTCTCTGAGACCTGTTGTGAAATCTTAACATTTTCCACCACATGGAAATAGTATGTTCACTGAGGCCAAGAGTACAATATCTCCTTCCAGAAATACAAGATGTGATAGCAGGCTAAAACTCAGGCCATTCACAGATTTGTTATAACGATAACAATCAATAATAGCGAACACAACCAGTATGATGATACATGCTTATGATCCCAGCTAAGTAAGAGGTATAAGTAAAAAGATTGCCATCTGAGGCCAGCTCTAGGGCGGGAAATGCAAGACTCCTTAGGAAAAATAACTAAAGCAAAAAGGGCTGGGAGGCATGGCCTGCCTCGCAAGCATGAGGATCTCAGTGCAGACCTAGGACCACCAAATGGTAAATGGTAAACACAGTATGACATCATGCCTTTAGTTTGCTTCCATTCCTGCTAACCACAGGAAGTATCATGCAATTGACATAGTATGCATAGTACATGTCTAGCTTGCGGATGAGGAAACTGGGATGCAAAAATAAGTTGTGTTGGACACAGGCATAGAGGGAAGATGTGTTTTGTTACTGAGGAGAACAGACACAAGTTATACACACACACAATTGCTAGGGCTTGGAAGTCTTCACCGCTTTTCTACTATGAATTTCATTGTCATTTGAGGTGGACAAGATAGAAGAGCCTATTGTGTTTATGTGCTAAGTGAAAGAATCTGGGGACAGAGTTTTTGCGATTTGGTGAATTATGCATCTCTCTTCCACTTGTCCAGGCTACAAAGTAGCACTGAGCCCTGCTCTTTCTGCCTAGTGAAATCACTTTCCTTAAGAAACATATTTTGCTCTAAGAAAAAGTTGGATCATTCTGGGCCCATGCAATCTATGGCTTATTCTGCTATGAACAGAAGAGTAAAGGCAAACAATTCTCCATCTCGGATGCACATAAAATCCTCTGGAGAATCATTTAACTGGTCCAAGGTAGAAACTAGTGATTCTAAGGAACAGCCAGGAGCACAGAGGCCAATCATCAGAGAGGGAATTACAATAAGCTAGAGAGAGCCAAGTACAATGCAAATGAAGCCCAGAGCTATTGGTAAAGTTACTCCCACGGTTAATACTGTAGACTGTGCCAATGGTGTTAAGCAAAATGTGGGAGGGCCAATCATGTTTAACCCTGGGCCTTACCAACTCCCCTATCTTAATCAAGCACAGTCACAAAAGCATTAGAAACAGCTAGCAGCATCTGAACACTCACTATAGACCCTGCGTGGTCCAGATCACCTGACAGCAAACCCACTGCAGAGAGCTAAATCACACAAGATGACCTCCAATATAACTAGGAGTCAATTCAGGCCAGTCTGACTGCAAAGTTCATGCTTGATCTACTTACCCAATAAGGCTAGTTTTGCCTCTGGCTCTGGCTGGCTATCACCCAAGGAAAGCAGACAGGTCAGAATTATGGAGGTGCTAGCCCAAGGTTATCATTCATCCATTTGGGGAGAAAAATCATATCTGCTATGTCCTTGGCACTACATAAAGTTTTCCTTTTCTAAAGCCAAGTTGATGAATAAGGGACATGGTCGAAGACCCGCCACAGCATTATGGCATCCTGTAACATGGCAGTCAGTGGGTGGCTGATTGGGGAGCAGGTGGGCAATGGAAAGCAAAGAATAAAGTAAGTCAGTTCTACTAAGGAGCCTGAAGAGGCTCACTCCTATATTTTTCTTCTAGTGTTTCTGTTTCTGGTTTGTTTCTTGTTTGGAGGGTTTTGCCTTTTGGTTGGTTTATTCTGTGTGTATTTTAAGTTTCAATCTTTAATCTAGCTGGTACTTTTTTCGGTTTTACTGAAGGATAACTGGGGAAAGAAAATGGTTGATTTTTAAGGTGTATCATGTGCTGATTTGATACATTAAAATTTTTCTTTTCCTTTGCACCCTCCTGCTCATGGTAAATGTCACTTCACTCTGATCTATACATTTTTGGATTCTAGACACAAGTGAGATGACACATAAAGTATTCTTTCTGGCTTAGCATTACCTCCTCAACTAATCCATATTGCCACAAAAGGCAGAATTTCCTTCTTCCTTAGGGCTGTATCATGTGGAACTGATATTTATATATTTGCAGGTACTGGTACTTGAACTCAGAGCCTTATGCTGTCCCTTAACTGTCTTGTTCATGGCTAGTGCTCTATTACTTGAGTTATATATACCTCCTGTCCAGGTTTGCTTCACTCTTAGATCCTGTAGGTCTCAGCCTCATGAGTAACTAGGATTACAGATATGAGCCACCAACACCCAGCTTCTAACTTCGGAAGTAGGAATGGGAGTGTGTGTGTGTGTGTGTGTGTGTGTGTGTGTGTGTGTGTGTGTGTGTGTGTGTGTGTGTAGCTCCACTTCCAGCTTTTTGGTTAACTGAAGAGTCTCACAGACTTTCCTGCCTAGCTTCAAACTGTAATCCTTAGATCTCAGCCTCTTAAGAAGGTAGGATAACAGACATGAGCCACCAGGGCTCAGCCTCTAACTGGTTTTCCATTACCAATGATGAGAGCTTTTCTAAACAACTTTTGATATTGTCAATTTCACTGGTGTACAGATTTCTTGATAGATTTCTGAATAGCAAGCTGCACTTTCCTTTGTAGAATATATTCACTAGTGTTGGATTTCAACAAATATTTCTGTTGGTTATGTTTACAAGGTTTCTTCTAGCTTCATTAAATGGATTTCAGAAGTTTCTGTTTTCCCCTCTAAATATGTATGTGGGGATTCTATTCTTGAAAAGTTATGCAGAACTTAAGTTCTAAACTTTATGATGGTGCACTTGGTAAAATGCTATGGCCAGTCCATATCTATTTTCTATGTCCTAGGTTATTAGCAGCATTCAAACCGCTGTCATCTTTTACACTGACTTAATTTTTATGTATCTCAGTTTATATCTAATGATGCTTCTTGAACTAAATATCAACTCTTTCTGATATTTATGTAGTTATAACAAATTTCTTACAGACATCTTTTTTTCTGAATATCTTATTCCATCCTATATTTTCAAATTTTATGTTTAATGTATGTTGTCTGTGAGTAGCATTAAAGTTCTGCTTTGGGGGGCTGGGAAGTTGGCTCACTGGTAGAGCGCTTGCCTTGCATGCCTGAGGCCCTGGGTTCGATTCCTCAGCACCACATAAGCAAAAAGAAAAAAAGCTGGGGGGCTGGGAAGATGGCTCAGTGGTAGAGCGTTTGCCTTGCATGCCTGAGGCCCTGGGTTCGATTCCTCAGCACCACATAAGCAAAAATGAAAAAAGCCGAAGTGGCGCTGTGGCTCAAGTGGTAGAGCGCTAGCCTTGAGCTGAAGAGCTGAGGGACAGCGCCCAGGCCCAGAGTTCAGGCCCATGACCGGACCCAAAAAAAAAAAAAAAGAAAGAAAAAAAGCCGGAAGTGGCACTGTGGTTCAAGAGGTAGAGCACTAGCCTTGAGCTGAAGAGCTGAGGGACAGCGCCCACGCCCAGAGTTCAGGTCCCACGACTGGACTCAAAAAAATAAATAAAATAAAATAAAACAAAGTTTTGCTTTGTTTACATGTAGTCAGTCTCTGTCGTGGGGGGTTCAAACTCAGGGTCTACCACTTGCTAGGTAAGTACTCTGTCACCTGAGTGCAGCTTCCAGCCCTTTTTGCTGTTTTTTTTTTTCCAATATGCCCTCAGACCATAATCCTCCTACCTGTGCTTCCTGCATAGGTGAAATTACAGGTGTGAGCCAGCAGGATGATAACTAGATATGTCTAGAACAAGCTGAAGAGGTCAAAAGCTGTGTACAAATGACCATATAACCTGATACTAATCAAAATGAACCCCAAGATAGGGACACAAGAGGTTTTATCTTTGTTGCTGTTCTTTTTAATGTACTTATAATGTACTATGTGATTTTTTTTGTTTCTTTGTATGTTCTTTCCCCATGGTACAACCCCTGTTGTCACTGTATTTGATTCCAGTATCCTGCATATATTTTTCTAATTTGGGGAAGGGAAATAACAAAATGCTGAAATATGGATACAGGATGACACATTGTAACAATGAGATGTACAAGACAGTATGTTGAGAATGAATTTTACAACTTTGCTGGGATGGGGGAGGGGAAAGGGGGGAGGAGTTAA